GGTGTGGTGCTGGTGGGGATATCGCCTGAGCTTTCTTTGTCCAAAATGTTTCAAGTACAAAAGTGTGCGAAAACTGTGCTCCCGCAGTTCTGGCTGCAAAGTCGCAAGAAGCAGTACGCAGCTCTGGCTGAAATTGTGCAAGACGCACGCAGGGAGCATTCGTCACGCAGCATCGGATAGGAAGTGCGCGAAGTGCATTCTCATGGCTCTGTTTAAATACAAAATGGCGGGGGAAGAGGCTACAAAATCGTAACTTGTGAGCGCAAACGTAGCAAAGCGCCTTCTTCTAAAAACGGCTGCAGACTTCACCTGCAAACTTCTAATGCCAACTTTTCGAGAGTTACCTCACCTGCCAACTTCTCATGCCAACTCTTCGAGAGTTACTTCACCTGCCACCTTCTCGTGCCAACTTTTCGAGAATTACTTTGCCTGCCAACTCTTCATGCCCACTCTTGCAGAGTTGCTTCACCTGCCAACTTCGCCTGCCAACTTTTCGAGAGTTACTTCACTTGCATGGCTTGCCGCTTTGCTTCCGGGCCACTCGTCACCTAGTTTTTTAGGCGGTTCCTTTGGCCATTGCAACTCGGCATCGAGGGGCGTAGTAGGGGCCAATACGGATTAAAAATGCCTAATGGCGCTGTTTGCGCTGGCTGTCTTGAATACTCATGCAACATCAGCCCGCTTGCAGAACTTGCGCAAGCGCAGATTTTGCACAATCGGAAGGCGTCTCAGATTGAAAGGTCTCCGCTTTTGGGGAGAAAGGAGGGTGGGAGTCCCAACCACTGCAAGAATGACCTTGGGCAAGTCTTGAAGGTAGCTGCCCAAAACGAAACCCTACATCACAACACACTTGCAGTTTCCCGGCGGTTGAGCCTCACCCATATTAACCCATTGTTTTCTTGTGGCCTGTCAACTAGTAATGGCCAGGATTCCCCTCAAACCCACACAAATTCAGGAGGCTCGTTGAATTGGGCCCAAGGGGTGGGGATGCTTTTTCCTTTTCCGGGAGGTTTGGGGGTCGTGAACCTATGATGGGCAAAATGTAGTTTTTAGCGCGCCTGTGCGTACATTGTAGCTTTTGCGACGTTGCAGGTCGTTTCGCTGCCCGGCCGCCGGGTTTGGAAGGCGGCGTTTTTGCGCCGCAATGCCAGTGAGATTTGCAAATCAGCCGTGGTCTTCTTTTGGTGTCTTGATTGGACTGCGTGTGCAAGGACTTCGGCGAGTGTCATTTCCGTTGGCTCTCTCGTGCAATCGGCTCGTTTTTGTGAGGTTAAAATCGGTCGAAATCATTCTGAAACCACAACTCCGTTCTATTTTGGAATATGCATTGGGTTTCGTGGCAGGCGCAACAGGATGAGCATGATCTGATTCGTCGCAAGCTAAGTTTTCGTCACAGGCGCAGCGCCTTGGAGCTCTTTGTTCAAACTTCCTGCGCTGCGGAGCCTTACGCAAAGATTTGGAGCCTGAGTTCAGGTATTGTGGCAGGTGCAGTGCTTTGGAGGGTTGCGCACTGAGCTTCCTGGCTGGCGCAGCACTGGGACGCATGGCGTTCAGACAGCATGGCTCACACACTCATTTGGGTGGCAGCCGGGGTGCCTGTTGATTTTCGTGGCAGGCACAGAGCTTTAAAGCATTGCGCGCAGATTTTGTGGCAGGCGCGCTGCTTTGGGTGCCCGAGGGTCGCACGTTGAGTTTCGTAGCCGGCGCAGCGCTTTGATGCCCGGTGCGCCAGTTTCGTGGCACGTGCAGTATTTACAAGTTATACTTTAAATATCGTGACAAGCTCGCTGCCTCAGAGTGCGGAGTGTAACGCGTTCTTGGCGTTTGTCGCGGCATGTCTTTGGGAAGACGACTTCAAACGTGTCTTCGGGATATATTTTTTTGAAGGTGCCTTGGCTTGGCATGTTTTTGCCGTTGTCTTGGGTGTTGCTTTTGGGTGTTTCTTTTTTTTGGGTTTTGCAGTTGTTTTGGGTAATGTCCTTGGGAAAGGCTGTTGGGATGTCGTTGGAAGGTGTCTTTCGGGTGTTTTTACAGGGGTAGTTGCCCCTGGGTCGCGTCTTTCGGGGCAGTTTTGGGGTTGTGTCTTGGGGGACGCCTTTGGGATTCTGTCTTTGTTGTTGTCGTGGGTGAAGTGTTTGACGTTTCTTGAAGGTATGGTAGGGCATGTGTTGGGGGGTGGATTGTTTTTGAAGGGTGTCTGCAGTTGTCTTGGGCGACGTCTTTGCGAACGACTTCAGGGGGTTTAGAGGAGGATGCCGTCAGGAAATGTCTTTGGATGTGCTTGGCGGTGTCCTTGGGAGTGTCCTTACGGAACTGTGTTTGGTGCCGTGTCCTCGGAGGTTGTCTGCGGGATGTGTTTGGGACATTTCTTTGGGATGTCTTGGACGTCTTGAGTTGTTGAGGATGCTGGGCGTTCTTGCTTCGGGGGATTGGGGCAATTGCGTTTGATGCGCCTTGGATCGCGCAAGACAGTCTTCGAAGCGCCGCGGCAAGAAGCCCCGTGGTTGCAGAAAACGTGGCCTGTTTGAAGATGTCACATTTTCGGGTTGGTCTAGCAGGGCCCTTTTCTCAAGTGCTCAACTCAGCTGAGCAAGAATGACACCCGAACACCCAACGAAAACCAGAGTGGGGAGGGGGGGGTCCCTTGCAACGCTTTCTTTGGTGACCGCCTTTGCAAGCTGCTAGCTGACTTGCGTTCTCCGCTTGCACATTTGCTGCGCTTGCTCTTTGCGCTTTGCGTTGTTGTTGAGCAGATTCGGGGGAACCCCTCGTTCTCCGTTCCAGGGATCCTTCCGCAAAAAATGTCGCGCACATTCTGGAACAAACATTGCCAGCTGTTTTGCAAATGGTAGACAAGAGTTTGTGGAATCACCCACTAGTTCAGCCACTAGTGTTGGTCGATATTTCTTGACAATAGGAATTTGATCAGGCAGCCCTTACTTGGTGGTTTGCATTGGTGGTTTGGGTATGTGTTGCATATGTGAGAAGCTACATCCTAACCTTCAAGCCACCAAACCACCAATTAGAGGGAAATAGATTTCACTTTCGCTTGCCATTTCACGATCAGGATGTGCGCCGGGGAGTTAGTTGCCTTCGTCCTCGAGGCCGATTCCGCCCGCGCGGAGGGGCGGGTGATTCATTTCATGAGCGACGTGCCGGAGGAGTCGGAGATGCAGGACATGATGCGCAGCCGGGTTTGGGAGCCCCAAATGGTTTGCGTTCCTTTGGCACCCCAAAAAGGGTACCGAGCCTCAAAACAAGGGGATGGCCACATTCTTGGCCAACTCCTTTTGGCTGATCATCTTGGTTGAATTTTCATTGAACTCACCAGCGAGATGCTGAAAAGAAACCTCCCTATTTGTTGGCCCAGTCGGAGAATTCGCGTGGAACCCTGGGTGCCAGCGGTTTGGTGGGGAGCCAATGGAAAGTTCACAGGAGGGATGGTTCACCATGCGTACTCTGTCAGGGTCCCTAGGGCCATCAAAAAATTCAGAAGGCCAAGGCAATCTGGGGCAAAGCAAGCTCACCCAAGAAGCTGGCTCACTTGGACACCTTCATTTCCTCATTTTTGGTCCAGTTGGTGCAACTTGTTTTCTCCGAAAGTGAGGGCTTGCCTCTCAAAGGGGGGGGGCTTTTCAAAAATGAGTAACAATCAGTTAGTTAGCACGTGAACCTCCAATTCTGGCCGACTCATTTCCGCGCAGATTGGCTAAGTGTTTGTATTGGTTTGGTATGCTAGGTAAAGGTGATCGGGTTGTAAGTGGTTGGAAAGCCTGGTTTTTTGGTAACCCACTGAACGGAGACTTACCATGGCTTTTGTGGGTTATCTCACCAGGCTTCCTAACCACATACCTGACGTACAATGCCCCGGTAAGTATCCCAGGTTGGTATCTTTGGTTGGTATCTTTGGTTGGTATCCTGGTGGATTTTTTCTCGGAGCTTCTGACTAAAAAACCAGGTGTGCAGGCAATCTGACCTAGGTTCCTTCCTTTTGTTGCTTCCTCCGTCCTGGTTTGGACCGTTTTCCTTTTAAAGGGACCGGGTCCCGAAGGTCAGGTAAGCCGCAATCAAAACCCGGGTAGATGAACAGTAGTAAGGGATACTCCCAACCATAAATAGCTGCGGATCTCCGCCTTCTTAATTCTGGGATTACGACCACTCTACCGGGTTTTGAGCAAGTGACTCATGTGCCCTCCAACCATTCTGGGGTCACCCAGTTTTTTATTCTTCTTTCTGCGAGGTCCTGGCACTGGTGGGCCGACCCTTCTCCAAGTGGCCCCTTGAAGTAACTCATGGGTTCCTCCCGCTCCGATGAACCAGGAGGTGCGGCAGTTGAAGGACCTGGATGGCGTCTTCGAGGCCAACGACGACGGGGAGGCCAACATGGCCACGGCAGCTCGGTGCGGCTTTTGTCGCTTCGAGTCCTCGGTTTCCCCTTGGGAGCGCGGCAAATCGTCTGGAAAACAGTTTGGATGTGACGCCTACCGTGGCTCCAGCCCTGTAAGATATTCAAAGATTCTTCTCAAAAAAGAACCAGCGGACAGGTAAAATCCATAAGCGCATCCAAACCGTTTTCCAGAAATGATTGCTGGACAAAAGTCTCCAAAAGATGTCCACCAAAAGCTCCACGAAAAGTTCATGCCCATATCTCCCCAAGGGCGGCTTTCAGCATCTCGGGGCTTGAAAAGGTTCTGGAAGGTCAAGTCGTGCCTCTCATTTCCGCAAGCTGGGAAAAGGAATGCTTCCCCAGCCTCGATGCTGTGCTTCCTCGGCACGTAGCCTCGCAAGCTGATATCAAGTACCTCGCTTCGAGGCCAACTCAGGTGCAAGGGGAACACAGGTGCCAAAAGGGGCATTGCTAATCTCTTCTAGCTAAAGATCACGACCATCAAAGTTGCTTGAGTTGCTTGAGTTGCTTGGAGTCAGGCCACGACGAGTAGAGGATTTAGCGCATGACTGTGTGCAGTTTCCGCAGGTTCAACATCAAACCGCAGTTCCGC